GTGCAGCAACATATAGTGCTGTGGTCTCTGCAGCAACAGGTAGTGCTGTGGTCCCTGCAGCAACAGGTAGTGCTGTGGGCCCTGCAGCAGCAGGTAGTGCTGTGGTCCCTGCAACAACATATAGTGCTGTGGTCCCTGCAGCAGCAGGTAGTGCTGTGGTCCCTGCAGCAGCAGGTAGTGCTGTGATCCCTACAACAACAGAGAGTGCTGCGGTCCGTAATGAAGTTGCACAGCAGGCGCGTCAGGTTTTCGGGTAGCCTCACTTGTATGATCTTATACTGCAGCCCCGCGTGCCAAACTTTGTCAGACGCTCTACTGACGTCCCTCAGTACTACGTTGCATTGCAGGCGGCCAGTCATGGCGTTGGCGCTATGCTCGTAGGTCTGGGCTATGGCGGTGGATGTGCCTCGGTACTGGCGGAAGCCGAACTGGTGCGGATTATGCACGTCTTCGTCCTCCAGATACATCCGCAACCGCTTGTTTACTATTTTTTCGAGGATTTTGGAAGGTACCTCTAGCAGCGATATTGGTCGAAAGTTTTCGACTTTGTTTGGAGGCTTCCCCGCTTTTGGTATGAGGCGAATAACGGCGATTTTGAACGTCTTAGGGAAGTATCCAGAGGCGAGGCAGGCATTGCATAGATGAGCAAGCCTCTCTATCATGTTGTCGGGGGTTGAGCCAGGATCTTCTTGTTAATGTGAATTTGCCCAGGTGATTTATTTTTAAACCCTTTTATGGTGGCTGAAACATCTGCAGGAACTATGCGCTCCGTCAGGTAGCTTTCGTCCACCGGTCTAGTAAAGTTAGTACGTGGGTGCGGCTGGAGCAAGTGCTGATGGTCCTGCAACTGACCTAAAATGTCCTCTGCTAACTCCCTGTCGAAGCCCTTGTTCTCTTGTTCACTCATGGTAAAGATCGCCGATGTATTTGTTCTTGGTTTTCCTCTTCGAATATTTTCACGTTGTTTTGATCAAGCAGATAAGGGACCGTGCTTGAGGTGAAACCCATCAATCGCTTGATCCCTTTCCAGAATGCAGCAGAATCGCGGCAATTGTTGGCTGCCTCCCACACTAAAGCGGCCCACTTTTGTTCATGTAGACGTTTGCTCTCGTGCTGGATGTCGGTCTGTAGCTCTCGGTACCGGTCTCTCAGCTCTTGCGTCCACCCGCGGATACTGGCTAGCTGTCTCATGTGATCGTACTGGACACTAAGCTGCCTCAACTGGTGACTAGTGTGAGGATGGGGAATGGTCCAGTGTGTGGTGGTCGGGATGTTGTTGTCCATCCCCGTCTTCACATCCGTGTACCATTGATCGACCGCGTCGTCGATGTCATTGGGGCTGGCTTCTTCCAGGTTCCTCCCCTGTTTGAGACTGAGAAACTCCTTCAAGGAGTCCCAGTCTTCCTGTTGGAGGTTTGACCTGATGTTGGCGAGGACTATAATGATGAGAGCATCACGACGACTGGCAGGTGATCGCTGGTACTGATGGGTCCAGCGGTAACGTGCCTGTTCAGGACCGCCTCGTTGTTAGAGAGGATTATGGCTGGTGTTGTGGCACTTGTCACGTCTGATTAATGTGGGGAAATTTAGCCCGAGGTGTTGCAGTTTTCCCCATCTGATGTTGTCATACAGCGCCACACCGACGTTGTTCTCATTATCGTGTCCAAGTATGGCGTGGCGCGCATTTAAGTCCCCTATGATGTATGTTGGTTTTCTGTGGCGTAACAACAGATTGAGGTCTTGTTCGAATAAGTAAGGACGTCTGGGAGGTAAGTACACTGTGCATATGATAACAGGTCCCCTAGTTGTCTCTATCTGCACTCCTAGAACTGAATCCTCGAAGTCTGGCAACACTCTGTGACTCAGCTGTAACCTGATGGCCACAGCGACATCATCGTTCAGCTCACCCGTCATGTTCCTCTGGTATACAGTGTAGCCAAAAATTTTCAGCTTACTTTCGTCCTTTATGCCATTACTGTTTAACAGAATAATGTCTGGGTCTAATTGATAGTTCGTTGCGTCTATTAAGGGACCAGTATAGGGCATTATGTTGGACAAATTTCATCCTGTTAACGACCGCCATTTCGAAGACTGTAGATTAGGGCGTCGCATGAAGTGTTTGCTCGGTTTCTGCCATTTCTAGGGGGCCGGAACTTCTTTGTAGAACCTTCGAACATCCGCTTGTCAGTTAATGGAGGGCCCTCGAACTTCTCGTCACCCGTGCACAGGAAGGTGTTCAGTTCCTGGGCCTGCGTGTCGAAGTAATCTACTGACGCTGCAGCTCGAGGGTCTTGTTCCTCTGTGGAGTAAGTCGCCATCATCTGGTCGCAACCATTGACTGTGGTTGCAGTCCGATGGTCACTGTCACTGTCACATATCTTGGGGTCACGGAGATTTACGGTGTCGCTGGAGCTGTGATCCCAAGGGGACTGACTGGCCACGTCGGGGCTACGGTTATACTGACTTTTGCCTAAGTCAAGGAGGTCATGGTCTATTTCTGGCGTGGGTTGAGGTAGTCGATAAGTCGTTGAGTGGGTTACTGCCTTCAGGATTTCTTTTGAAGGGACTTCGTCGCTTATTTCAACTGGTGCAATGTTGTTCCTGGTTAGTGTCTTGTTGAGGTGTTTAGAGAATAAACCTGGATGAACCATGTTCATGTGATGGGCATGCAGGTAAGACAAGTATATACTGTAGTGGTGGCTTTGGACTCGTCCACCTGTGGAGAAGAGACACTCCTGATGCTCTCCGCAACTGCGTCCCTCATGGCGCCCAGTGACTTAGTAACTGCCTGTTTTATTGAGTCCTTGATGGATCTTATTTCTGATTGCAGGAATTCCATGGTCTCGCTGACATTGTTGAGTTTTTGTGAGTCTGCTTATGTTTCTTTCAGAGCGTCTTTTAGGGTTTGGCTGTAAGCCATGATCGTCGACTGAGTGGTCCTTTCTATGGTGTTAGAAATTTCCCTGGTTTCTTTTTGCTTGGTTATTTCGGTCAGTTTCTTCTCTGTTTCTTGAATTACCTGTTTACTGACCAGGCAGATGGCAGAGAAGGTCCTGTGGCCACCTTCGCAGTCTTTGTAGAAGTGCTGATCAGATGAACACTCAGAGCATATGACCCCTTGCAGGGGGCAGTTCTTGGTCATGTGGTCATTGTATTTATAGTACTTCATACATTGTTGGATGGGAGTATACTTTTCATATTCTATTTGGTGGGATGAGATGGAAGTGCCATATGCATAGAGCCCCTTCTCCTTCATTCTTTTTGCATCCGCTGTGTCTGCAAAGCGAACCTTGATTATATTATGGGCATACATAGGATACACCTCCACAACCTTGACATTGTTTTGCTTTTGTATTTCATCTCTTATTTCTTCTGCGTTATTCTCCACTACATCTTTGCCCAACTTCTTACATACAAGGGTGAGCTTGGCGCCGTATACCTGTGGGACAATGACCTCGTAACCGTTAGTTTTTATTTTGTCCATGGCACTAGACTTAAGTAGTTTATCAGCATCTTCATCTGTTTCTGTGAGGATGATGTAACCATCTCTCAGATCCACAAGACTATTTATTCTCACCATTAGGTCGCTTAAAAGCCTTTTTACCCCTATCCGAGACCCCTGGGTCGGGGTTCAGGAGGTCTTCACTTTCACTTGGGCCATGGTCAGTAACTTACATGAAAATCCTACCTAATTTGTCCACCTCAGCTAAACCCCATGGATGCCACTCCTTCTGTCCGCTTGCTGGGCGAGTAAAGACGGGTCTAGGGGTAGGGTGAACAGACAATCCCCTGACGGGGGCCTAGCCAAGCCCTAACACCTAACAGTGACAGGGTATGAAGCACTGCCGAATCCCTAATAGAAAATGTCACCCTTACTGTTCGACCCAGCAGCCCTTGTGGCTCTGCCCGCAGGGTTCGCGTCGTTGCCAAACAGCAGGGACTCTAGGCGAAAGGATATGGTAGGGAAGAAGCGCAGTGTAAAAGAATAATAATATCCATGTACAACTACAAGATAAAGCAGCCAGAGCGAACCCAACGTGAAAAACAAGGCCGACAGTCGTAACGGTCAACAATATGAACATGAGCAGGGAGCGACGCGCAGCACGTATGCTCGCTATGAAGGATGGGTGCGCTCTGTTCAGTTACCCTGAGTTCTTGTTCCTTAACTATTACCAATATTCCTATTCCTACACTGACAAGGGGTGGTTTTGCTCCCATGGATGTACTGGATCTTGGGTGTTACACCAATCTTTACCCACAGTGGCGACACATTACTCCCTCATATGGACGCTGATGCCTTTCTACAAAACTCACTGGGTTACACCAACCCGACTGTAGCTATTACTTACCGGACTCTCCTGAGTTTAGCTCCAGCCTCATAGTACCACAATCCTTCTCTTTAATTAGCCATAATATCAGCACTGTCCCCCTTCACTGTTACCTTTATAAATCTGTGTATATCTTTTATTACCCATAAAAATGAAGTACTAGGGTTCGGTGAGATTAAATTCACTAACGATACGTAATATTTGTATAACATCCTTAATTGTACTAGACACTGCGTCAATACTTCACGACACAGTGGTGATGTCACGCTATAAATGTAAAAAAAAAAAAATGAAGTGATATCCGAGGTAACATTCTGATGTGTTCTTATCACCACCATGCTATGTGTACTATTCCAGATGATACTAAATGTTACATAATACTTCCTTGATATAAATGTACAGCAGGTGCCTCTAAGAGAGCTCAGGCTCTCAATTGACTCAGCCATGGCAACATTGTTATTATTACCCACTCTGTATCTTTCTGGCTAAATAAACTGTTTCAACCCTTCGGTGGCTATTCCACCGAGGGGTGGCACACTGTACTGTATATGTCAGTAACTGTACCTTACCAGGATGGATTTATTACCATAGTAATGGAGAGAGCCAGTGCAACGTAACCTGTCCCTTCATGAGTTCTATAAAACCACTAAGGACTTACTTCCCATACTCCTATGTTGAGTTTCTCCCATTGAGGGACGGCGTTGACTAGAAAGTAAGTAGCATCCATCTCAGCCCTCAGCACAAAGTCTCCGTTTGGTGCGAGGTGACCCCTTGATATGACAAGACCTGCCTTTGCATTGTTCTTGTTCCAATTAGTGTAGTGTTCTTCAACGTCTGGGAAAAACTTGGTTTCTTTGAAGGGAGGAGACTTTTTACTTGGGAAGTCTTTAGCGCCCAGGTCTCTGTTGATAATTTACTATCATTAACAAAGTTAGTTCAAATATTAAGAGCCTGCTTTTCCCATTTAAAGGTAATGAAAATAATCACACACACACACACACACACACACACACACACACACACACACACACACACACACACACACACACACAAAGTTTGTGACTTGGGAAAAAATAAATTAGGAATAAGAGGGAAAACTTGAACACTAAGCTTATACTTGTGGCAATAACCATGGTTAACTACCACGACTTGATCAACTATAACTATCTTGTCCCCACCTACTGTAACTATCTTGTCCCCACCTGTAACTATCTTGTCCCCACCTACTGTAACTATCCTGTCACCTCTGTAACTATCTTGTCCCCACCTACTGTAACAATCTTGTCCCCACCTACTGTAACCTATCTTGCCCACACCTACTGTAACTATCTTGTCCCCCTTACTGTAACTATCTTGTCCCACCTACTGTAACTATCTTGTCCCCACCTACTGTAACTATCTTGTCCCCACCTACTGTAACTATCTTGTCCCCACCTACTGTACCTATCTTGTCCCCACCTACTGTAACTATCTTGTCCCCACCTACTGTAACTATCTTGTCCCCACCTACTGTAACTATCTTGTCCCCCACCTACTGTACTATCTTGTCCCCACCTACTGTAACTATCTTGTCCACCTACTGTACCTATCTTGTCCCCTGTAACTATCCTGTCCCCACCTACTGGAACAATCCTGTCCCCACCTGTAACTATCCTGTCCTCACCTACTGTAACTATCTTGTCCCCACCTTAACTATCCTGTCCCCCACCTGTAATTATCCTGTCCCCTCACTGTAACTATCTTGTCCCCACCTACTGCAACTATCCTGTGTCCCCACCTGCTGTAACTATCTTGTCCCCACCTACTGTAACTAACCTGTCACCTACTGTAACTATCTTGTCCCCACCTGCTGTAACTATCCCTACACCTGCTGCTTAACCAACCTGTCCCCACCTACTGTAACTATCTTGTCACCTGCTGTAACTATCTTGTCCCCACCTACTGTAACTATCTTGTCCCCCACCTGTAACTATCTTGTCACCTGTAACTATCTTGTCCCCACCCTACTGTACCTATCTTGTCCCCACCACCCTTAACTAACCTGTCCCCCCTGCTGTAACTATCTGTCCCCACCTACTGGAACTATCTGTCCCCACCTACTGTAACTATCTTGTCCCCCACCTACCTTCAACCTCCACCTGTAACTATCCTGTCTCACCTACTGTAACTATCTTCCCCCACCTACTGTAACCTGTCCCCACCTACTGTAACTATCTTGTCCCCACCTCTGTAACTAACCTGTCCCCACCTCTGTAACCTATCTCCCCACCTATCTTGTCCCCACCTCTGTAACTAACCTGTCCCCACCTACTGTAACTATCCTGTCTCACCTACTGTAACTATCTTGTCCACCTGTAACTATCTTGTCCCCACCTACTGTAACTATCTTGTCCCCACCTACTGCCTCTTGTCCCCACCTACTGTACTATCTTGTCCCACCTGCATAACTATCCTGTCCCCACCTACTGGAACTATCTTGTCCCACCTACTGTAACTATCTTGTCCCCACCTACTGTACCTATCTTGTCCCCCTACTGTAACTATCTGTCCCCACCTACTGGGTTCTCTGTCCCCCCACCTGTAACTATCCTGTCCCCACCTACTGTAACTATCTCATCTACACCTACTGTAACTATCCTGTCCCCACCTACTGTAACTATCTTGTCCCCACCTACTGTAACCAACCTGTCCCCACCTACTGTAACCTATCTTGTCCCCACCTACTGTAACTATCCTTAGTCCCCACCTACTGTAACTATCTTGTCCCCACCCTCTGTAACAGCCTGTCACCTACCAGTAACTATCTTGTCCCCACACCTGTAACTATCCTGTCCCCACCTACTGTAACTATCTTGTCCCCACCTACTGTAACATCCTGTCCCCACCTACTGTAACTATCTTGTCCCACCTACTGCTACACTACTGTAACTATCTTGTCCCCACCTACTGTAACTATCTTGTCCCCACCTACTGTAACTATCTTGTCCCCACCTACTGTAACTATCATCCCCACCTACTGTAACTATCTTGTCCCCACCTACTGTAACTATCCTGTCCCCACCTACTGGAACTATCCTGTCCCCACCTGTGTCCACCTACTGTAACTATCTTCATCCACACCTACTGTAACTATCCTGTCCCCACCTACTGTAACTATCTTGTCCCCACCTACTGTAACTAACCTGTCCCCTCCTTAGCACTATCTGTCCCCTGCTGTAACAATCCTGTCCCCACCTGCTGTAACTATCTGTCACCTGCTGTGGCTATCCTTGTCCCCACCTACTGTAACTATCTTGTCCCTGTCTCTCTGTCCCCCACCTGCTAACTATCCTGTCCCCACTCCTGCTATCTTGTCCCCACCTACTGTAACTATCTGTCCCCACCACCTCTGTAACTATCTTGTCCCCCCACCTACTGCTAAACGCATACCTGTAGCTATCTTGTCCCCACCTACTGTAACTATCCTGTCCCCACCTACTGTAACTATCTTGTCCCCACCTACTGTGACTATCCTTGTCTCACCTGCTGTGCTATCTTGTCCCCACCTACTGTAACTATCCTGTCCCCACCTACTGTAACTATCCTGTCCCCCACTCACTGTAACTATCTTGTCTACTGTAACAATCCTGTCCCCACCTACTGTAACTATCCTGTCCCCCACTCCTGTAACTATCTTGTCCCCTACTGTAACTATCCTGTCCCCACCTGTAACTATCACCTGTCCCCACTCACTGTAACTATCTTGTCCCCACCTGCAACTATCCTGTCTCTCACCTACTGTAACTATCTTGTCCCACCTACTGTAACTATGTCCCCACCTACTGTAACTATCTTGTCCCCCACCTACTGTATTTCTCTTGTCACCTGTATCTATCTTGTCCCACCTACTGTAACTATCTTGTGCTCACCTGCTGTAACTATCCTTGTCCCCACCTACTGTAACCATCTTGTCCCCCACCTGTGACTATCCTGTCCCCCATTCTATCTTTACACCTACTGTAACTATCTTGTCCCCACCTACTGTAACTATCTTGTCCCCACCTACTGTAACTATCCTGTCCCTACTGTAACTATCTTGTCCCCACCTACTGTAACTATCTTGTCCCCACCTACTGTAACTATCTTGTCCCCACCTACTGTAACTATCTTGTCCCCACACCTCTGTAGCTATCTTGTCCCCACCTACTGTACCTATCCTGTCCCCACCTACTGTAACTATCCTGTCCCCACCTACTGGAACTATCCTGTCCCCCACCTACTGTAACTATCATTGTCCTCTGCCTACTTAACTATCCTGTCACCTGCTGTGCTATCCTGTCCCCACCTACTGTAACTATCTTACAATACACCTGCCCAGCAACTAACCTGTCCCCCACCTGCCAGCAAAACTATCTTGTCCCCACCTGCCATGACTATCCTGTCCCCTCTGTGACTATCCAGCTTAATGCATGCTTCTAG